AGGACCTCTTGCAGGGGAACTGCTGGCAGGGTGGATATGTAGACAGGGAAGCCCTTTTCGCTTGCCTCTGCCGCTCCGCTCCCGTATTCCCCTTTTGATTTGCAGCTATTTCGGCACCGCCCGCGAGCTCAGGTGCCCCCTTCCCCCGCCTCCTTTTTCCCCTGTCTGTAACCATTCTGGCCCAACCGCCCCGTTACAGTGGAGGCGGTGCTGTCCCACCCGTTGAAGCGGCGCTGCTTGCGTCGCGCCCGTCGCCATCCAGCTGTCGACAGGGTGTCGGCGCGAATCAATGGCGTCGCCGCCGTGTGTTTCCATTTGGCAGGCGCCCCCTTCCATTCGCCTGCGCACGGGCTCATTTTTGAAATCCTTGTTTTGTTCGTCACGAGCTGACATGTATCCTGACCTCCCAGGCCCGCGTGGCGCAGCTTGAGCTGCAGCAGCGCGAGGATCCGAGCCGATGGCCTGGTCATGGCGGGTGCCCTGTCGAAAGCAAGGGCCGCCACGAAAGCGCGAAGTGATTCGCGCTTCGCGGTTCGCGGTTTGCTTCCCTCCTCGCTCCCCGTCCTCGACCTCGTCACCCTGTTCTCCCCGCGGGGGCGGCGCGGGGGCGCGAAGTTTTTCGCGTTTCGCGCGGCGCGAAGCGTGAAGTCTCGCAGCGCGTGGCGCGAAGTTATGCGTGCTTCCCGCTACGCGAAGTTTTTCTGGCTATTCTCAACGCGAGCCCCTTGGAAAAAGCGAGGCTCTGCGCCCCACACGCCAGGCGGCCCCCACTCTGGGGAGGGGCCGCGCGGCTTGCGTGGCACTGCAAGCACTACACTGGCCGCGGCGTCGCGCATCCCCCCGCCCAAGCCCGGCCGGCCGGCGCGCCGACGTGGGCGCGAAGCTACGGACGGCGACGGCCGCAAAAAGATGGCGGCGATGACGGCGACCGCGACGACGACGTTCTGTAGCGGCCCCTGGGGGCCAGGAGCGTCTCAACACTTCCATCGTGGATTCGAGACCAGAGTTCACACATATCCACCGCTTGGGGAAGCCATGCCCCAGGGCTTCGGTCGGCAGGCAATGGACACGGATGGTTCGTGCCGTGCCGACGCGGCGGCGACGCCAGTGCGGGCGTTTGGAGTTGAATCGCGCTTGCGGCCTGAGCCAGGCAAATTTTTCGGCGACTAAAAAACTGATTTACGCCAGGGTGTGGTTTGCGATCGGCGCCGTTGGGGCTTGGGGGGACAGGTCACGCGACGAGACGCCCCAGGCCCAGGGGGCACGCGCCAAGCCCGGAGAGATTCGGGCATTCCGGGTCCACGCCCTCGAAAAATCCCCGCAGGATTGAGGACTGAGGCTCATGGGATTGAGCAAGGCACCCGAGGGCACGGTGGCTGATATGCAGAATGGTGCTTCCAAGGTCAGGCCGGCCAGTCGAGAGGCTCACACGTGGTAGCTACTGCAGCTCGTAGGCGGGGCGCAAGTAGGCCATACGTTGGGTCGAACCGCCACATTTGCGGAATCACTTGAGCGACGGGAGAAAACGGCCGACCTTTGCAAGTCAGTTTCCCGCGCAAGACCGCGCATGAGCGACCTCTCTGTCACGCGGTGCGCCGCGCTGGAGACCCGCGAAGGCCACAGCGTACGGTCGCTGTGTCTTCTCGCGTGCGTCCCGCTTTTTTTCGTCGTCGATCACATTTGCGGAGTCACTTGCAACGACTTGGACCCGGCCTTGCCGATGAGCAGGGTGCAGGCGCCAGAGAGCGGCTTCCGCAGCGGGGGCCGACCGAGGTCATGAAGTTCTACGAGAGCGGCGAGGCGCTCGCCAAGGACTGGGGCGCTCCTGCTCTGGGTGCCGGCTCCCAAGCGTCTGCCAAAGGCACGCTGGTCGTGACCACACCGCGTGGTGAGTCAGCTGGGGTTTAGGGGTCACCGCACGGTTTTGGGACTCGGGTCGTTCTCCGAGGATGTCTCGGGCGACTGGGGCCTCCGAGCTTCCAAAGCCATGTGGTGACGGACTGCGCGTTGAGGCCTCTCGGGGTTTCGAAGTCACCAGGACGAACCCCAAGAAGAAATTAACATGGGTTTATTACATTCTGGGATTATTGACCAGGGTTCATAATGTCCCCCCCGGAACATTACGAACCTGGGTTAATAATGTTCCGGGCATTTCGATTCCAAAAAGATAATATCTTGGGTTCACAATGTTCTGGGAATATTGATTGGGATTAATAATGTCTCGGGAATAATTAAACCCTGGTCTCTCATTCTGGAATGATAATAGTGGAGGCTGGGGAGCCTCGCCTGAGCCATAGGTGGATATTTTGAATCCGGATTTATGATTCCAGAACAATTTTAATTTTTATATGCCCTCAACCCCGCGCCTCGAATATTGACCCTAGTCCGCTATCTCTAGAACATCATAAACCGGGGCTCGTAATGTTCTGGGAATCGTATAAACTCAGGTGCATTTTTCTGGAGTGATAATGATCCGGCGGAGGGGGGGCGCCTGAGAAGGAGATTGGACTGGGATCAACCCTGGTTCAATATGTCGGAATATCAACCCCAGATGCATTATTCTGGAATGGAAATGACCCGGCTAGGGGGGGAGACACCGATCCATCCACAGGCCAATAATCCAATGGGGGTATCATCTGAACACCATGAACCTTGCTTTCTCATTCGTAGATAATACACCACGGTGGACGAGGATTTCGCGGCCACCCTCGAAGTCACCGCATGGTCTATCACCACTGCTTTGGGACCCCCGAGCTGGCCCGCCCCACGACCAGACGACCACGGGGTATTCCGGGCTCCCTCCCTAGAGTTCACGTCGCCGCAGACAACGTGCAAGTTCCGAACTTGCGCGCGATATTTTGTTGTTCAGATAAGACTGTCAGTCAGCGTTCATCCCGAATGGAGTGTTTCTAGCAATCTATGTGGCACAATCGATGTTGTGCAATCTATATTGTACAATCTATGATGTAACATGTTTGTGATGTAACCAATGTTGTTCAATTTCGTTGTGTAATCAATGTGGTCCGATTTATGCGGTGCAACATATGTGGTGCACTTTCTGTGGTGCGATCTATGTGGTGAAGTATTTGTTGTTCAATATATGCCGTGCGACCTATATGCAATCTATGCGGTGCAACATGTGTGGTGTAATCTTTGCGGTGCAATCTATGTGGAGCAATATATGTTGTGCGATCTATGCTGTGCACTTTACATGGTGCAATGCATGCTGTGCAATCTGTGTTGTGCTATCTATGCGGTGCAGTCTATGATTTACAATTAATTTCTGTTCGCAGTGAGTTGTCAACTAGACTGCTCGCGAGATCATCCCACCCACCCATCCGCAACTTGGTTTGCAAAATGCATGCGGTGGCGATTGCGCTGAGTGCTTGACGTTGGCTGGTCCATCTCTGTGGCCACGCCAGCCCGAACACGCGCGCGCAGCGGCCAGGTAGTTCGGCGCGACCGACGCGGCCGCGGTGGCGCTGACCGCTGGGCATGTCCCAGCCGGCACTTCAGTGCGAGTCGGCGGTTTGGGCGGGCGCGGTATCATGGCAATGCCGACAACGGTAGACACGATGATAGTAGTAGCGATGCTGGTGACGACGTTAACAACGACGACGGCGCGGCCAGTGCGGGCACCGATGCTGATCACGCCGACGACGATGACGGCGTCCTCTCGGAGATGAAGGTTTCGGATCGAGTTCGACATGTGCGCGTGGCCGACGCGCGAGAGTGGCCCGCGTGGTATATCTGACACTGATCCTGCCCCCCCACAGCACGCGCGCAAGGGCGTGCCAATGATGTCGGCGTGCGGCGCGGGTGGCCCGTTTGGCGGAATGCCATGAGCGTGTTGAAAATTTCCCGTTTTTCTTAAGAGTTCGCACGAGCGCGAACGCACGGTTTTTTTGAGCATTTATGATGCGAAACCGAGGGTTTTATATGTTTTGTTTGGCACTCGGTGTTAACCCGCTAATGCACCGACGGTTTTTGATGTATTTGGGCATGCGCGCGCGACGACGCGCGCGTGTTCATGTCGTGTTCCTCTATGCAACGGATTCTCGCGACGGCACGCGCGCAAGGGCGTTCGAACGATTTCGACATGCGCGCCCGCGGAGCCTGTTTGGTAGCATGTTCGGAATCGGACGAAAAACGCATCGGTTCTTTCATACTTTTGCAAACACGCGCACGCAACATTCCTTGGTTTTCAATTTGTGTTGCGAAGCCACTTGTTTTTATGTTGTTGAAAACCTAAGGTTGCCCTTATTGCACTTAAGGTTTTTGAAGGATTCCGGCATGCGCGCGCGACGACGCGCGCGTATGCACATCTTTTCGTTGCTCGGCAAGGAGTTGGTGACAACTGCATATTTTCGATACAACGAGGGCGCGCGCATAGTTGTTTTTTGCAGAGGATGGCGGGGCGGGGCGTTACCGCCCTTTGGGGCGGGGCGATACCGCGATGGGGCAGTGCCATACTTACATTGCATTACGGGAAAAAAAGGGAATGGTCTATTTCGGGGGGCGGAAAGGGGGGGTCGAGTAGTGTTTTGTTGTTGGTGGCGTTGTTGTTGGTGTTGTTGCTGTTTTTGTTTTTCCTGATAAGAAAACAACGAATCCATGAGGTGCGGCGGCGGCGGTGACGGGGCGGCGACGGCGGTGACGTAGTCGCCAGACCGACGCGCAGGCCTAGACGACGGGCGGCGACGAGGCGGCGACAGGGCGGCGACGCTGGATGGCCGCCAGAGCGACGGCCAGGCCCAGCTTCTGAGAGAAAAATAGGAACCCTTGAGTGCAACCACTGTTTGGGGAATGGTCCACTCGGGTGGGGTTCTCATGGCGGCCTGGTGCAGCCGTAAATGGGGGTGCGGGGTGCGGTTTGGGACCCGTGCTGACGCTGTTTCTCCCCACTTCCCGGAGACACCGAAATCTTTCAAGAGCCTTCCATGACGCCAGGCCTCCCCCATCAAAAAACAGCATTCTGCAAACCTACACTTTCAGAGGCCCGCGCAGATCACAGATCTCTTGGGTCGGCGCTGGGTGCTCGGGCGAACGGCAACGCGGGGGGCAGTAAACGCAGGCGGATCGAGGATTGCACGAAAGTGGGCCTGAAGGCGCCGCGGGCCTGAAAAGTTGCTCGAAAGGTATACATTTCTTCGCCCCCCCCCCCCCCCGTGTAGTGCCTTCCCGCCAATCACCATCCACAAAACCACCCCAACCCAACCCGAAGGCCTAATTTTGCCTTCCATTCCCAGTGGGCGGGGCGTCGGGAAACAATGAACAAAAACATGTGGAGCCCGTACCCCCCAAACCCAAAATTTTGGTCCGCGGTTTGGGTTGGAGGGTTTGGCAGGCAGTCAGCCACCGAACGCCCAGGGATGCTCGGTGCGATCGGGCCGTGTGGCCAAAAGGGCCCTGGCAGAGGTCCGAGGATCGCGAACGACGTCGAAGAGCTGGAGGGTGGGATCTCCGAGGCTGCGACCCGGGGTTAGTTGGGTCGACGGCCTCTGGCCGTGGAGAACGAGCCACCTCGCCACAGAAGCCTGGTTGAGCTTGGCTGCCGTTGGGCATGGTTGCACAGTCGTTTCCCTCAGGAGCGATAAACGTACGTGTGCATGAATTCTCGTGGGTTTCGGGAACACGGTCGGACCGAGTCATAAGATCGAGGTCGGTTCGGGGAGGGTAACCCCATGCCCCCGATGATAAAGCATACCCTCCCCCATCACCCCCTCTAACATGTTTATCCCGTGTCGATCGGATGTAATTGTGGAGATGGCGCGGAGGCCGAACTTGATAATCCCTGGGGGAACTTGCGAATCGAAGTTGCTATCATCTTATGTTGACTAGCAACAGCATCAAAAATGCTGAGCATGGCAATGGTGGCCTCACCATTTCAGCTTCCGCAATCACGAGCGTGTGGCAGGGCTTTGGGATTCTCACAATTTCAGTTTTCCCAAGTCACGAACGTGCGGCAGGGCCATGGGATTCTCACTTTCTCAGCCGTTCCCGAGTGGTCTGAGGCCGTGCGCAAGAGAGGTGCCAAGGACCTCTCTTGCGCAGGCAAGTTGTAGCCACGAGCCTTGAGATCTCTCGAGTCAGTCTTGTGCCAATATCTACAAGGTCAGTTTACACGAGCGTCCAGGATCATCATCAGCATCAGCATCATCATTGCCATCGTCATCGTCATCGTCATCATCATCATCATCATCATCATGATCATCATCATCATCATCATCATCATCATCATCATCATCATCATCATAAGATCACCTTCCCCGGGAACATCGTTGATTATCCCCACCAGACCCCGAACTTCTTTATCCCCAGGGGATCATTATCGGGAGCGCTCGGTTAGCCTAACGTTCTTCGTGTTTGGCCGGACGTTTTCGTGCATCCTGGGGGGGGGTGCCCTCGAATTTTCTTCGGTTTGGCCGGCGAAGGGTCTCCTGTCCTGGAGGGATCGTATTCTGTCCAAGGTCTGGCCGTATGCGTTGCGCGGACATTCGTGATGCCAGCCTGGTCTCGCGGACCGGGGGGCCCTACTCCGTAACGTTGCTGGGCGCGTACGTCGCCTGTGCCTCCCTTGGGGGCCGCCCCCGGGGGTGACCGACTGGCGCCTCGCCTCGCCTCGACGCCTCCGGTCGGCCGAGCTCCTGCTACGGGCATGCCCAGAGGCGGGCGCAACCAAGAACCACCACCACAACTAAGCGGAGTTTTCGGGCGGAGCCCTCGGGGGAGAACCCACCGACCTCGACATGAGCACTTTGGTGGCGGTCGTGGTCGACGTGGCGGTCCTGGGACGCCACCTCGACCACAACCAGCACGAAACTTGCTTCGGTGGTCGACGCTTTTTGGCCTGTGGTGGTCGCTTGCTGTCCCCGCGCTCGAGGCGGAGTTTCCCCTCGTCCATCCTCCAGCCTCCGTCCCTCCCTCCTCCACGCCGCGCCCCCCCAACAGTTCGGAGACCACGGTGTGCGGACCACGTCGGCCTCCCGCGATCGCTCTCTGGGCCCACTGGGCGCCAGGCAGGACGCGGCGCGACGCCGAGCCCCAGGAGGGGGCTGCAGCCCGTTGTGTGTGCAGCACGTCTCTCCTGCTCTTCCTGGTGGCTCGCTTTCTCTGCCGGGGGGGCGCCCTAGCCTAGGCTGCAACCGTCGGAGGAGGGCCCGTCGAGACACTGGCGGCCCTTGCTGGCGTTTTTCGTCCTCCTTGGGCCCCGCGGAGGCTTCTCGTCGCCGCGGCTGGATCCGCACCGATTTTTTTTGATCCGCGGGTCGAGAGCGCACCTCTTCCGGTCGAAGCTCAACACCCACCAAACCACCCCAACCCAACCCGAAGGCTCAGATTTGCCCTCGATTGCTAGTGGGGGGGGTCCAGAAACATAGAGAAAACACATATGGAACCCATACCCCCCCCAACCCGAAATTCGGGTCTTCGGGTTGGGTTGGGGTGGTCTGGTAGGTAGTCAGAAGCTACCGCATCGAAAAACATGCCAGGATGAAGCCCGAGAGTGGTCTTGGGGCCGATGGTGAGCGGACTTGGGCCCGGGCGGGAGCGCAGTCGTCCCTCGTCGCCTCAGCCGGCCTGTCTCCGACACTGGTTCGGACCTCCCTGGGGCTGCCTCCCGCCCCCCCCCGCGGTCCAGGACATGGGCGTCCCCCTCTCCGTGCTGGAGAAGACGCACAGCGACCACTACGCGGCCGCCAAGAAGACCGAGAAGGACCCCCGCCGTGCGCCGCACGGAGATGGCGGCGGCCCGGCGAATGGGAGGGGGGGGGGGCGGACAGAGCACCGGTTCGGCGTCGCTCGTCGGGAGGCCGCTCGTGTTCTGCCATGTCGCCGTGGGCTTCATCCACAGCCCCATTCGAGGCGGGGATCCATTCACGTGGACGTGGACGTGGATGTGGCTATGGTTAAGGATATCTCTACATACGCACGTATACGTTTATGTATATGTTTGAAAGAGCGCGTTCTGTGGTCGCTTGGAGGGGGGGGGTGGAACCAGACCCTCCCCCGTCCCCTGGATGGAGGGGGTGGTTCGAACCCCCCCCCCTTCAGTGACGGGGGGGGGGTTCGACCCCCCCCTCCTCTCCCCCCTCCTCCTATTACATCTCCTTTCTCCCTCTCTTCGGGCCGGCGCCTGCGTCGGCGGCGGCTGGCGGCGGCGGCGGGGACGACGACTTCCTTTTCTGGGCCGGCGCTGGCGCCTGCGGCGGCGGGCGGCGTCCAATTAAGTTCTCTTTCGAGGAATCAAATAGGAAGCAGCTGGATCTGGGACCTGTTCAATTCCAATCCGATTCTGATCCCATTTCTATAGGGAGCTACTTGGAATCAGCTGCATCCATGGTGTGGGAGTCTAAATTGGACTCAGCTGGATATGGGAAGTGCCGAATTCAATTTGAATCCCAATTCAATCCCATTAGGAATCTACTTAGTATTAGCTGGATCTGAGGTCTGCCCAGTTCCAATTAGATGGCAGTTGTAGTGCAACCGAAAACTACAGTGAATCACCTGGATCTGGGATCTGCTCCATCCCAATTAGATTTTAATGGTATCCCAGTCGGAATATATTTGGAGGCAACTGGATATGGCATCTGCTCAAGTCTAATTCGATTCGAAGCCGATGCTTATGTAAGAAGATGTGTAGCCAGCTGGATCTGGAATCTGCAACATTCCAGCTCGATTATGAACATATTGCCATCAGAACCCCGTCTGGACTAGCTGTATTTGGGATCTACTCAGTTCCGAACAGGTTCGAATTTTATGTGTGCAGAAATCTATTTGGAATCGGCTGGATCTGTGGTTTGCTCAATTCCAATCAGAGATTCTTTGAATTCCAAAAAGGGCCCCAATAGGATTCAGCTGAGTATGGTATGTGCCCAATTCCAATTACAAGCATGCTACAGCCCAACAGGAAGGAAGCTAGAGCCAGCTGGATCTGGGATTTGCTCCATTTCATTCAGATTTAAACTATACGGCAATTGGAGTCGAATGTGAACCACCTGGGTCTGGGATCTGCTCCATCCCATTTAGATTCTAGTCTAACCCCTCTCGCAATCTATTCGGAACCAGCTGGATCTGGAATCTCCTCCTTGATGCGATCCGCATTGGGTACCAATCGGAATCTATTTGGAATCAGCCGGACCTTGGATCTGCGCCATGTCAATTCGATTCTGCGTCGATGCTCACTGTAATCCATTCCGAAACAGCTGGGTCTGATATTTACACTTTCAATTCGATTCCTATTAGGTCCCACTAGGGCGCTAATTGGGATCAGCTGAACCTGGGCTACTTTCCGCCCTAATGGGATCTCAATTGTGTGTCCAACAAAGACATAACTGTAATCAGCTGGACCTGGAATCAGGCTCTCTCTCTCCCTCGCTCTCTCTGTTCTCTTTCTTTCTTTTGTGTTGTCTGTCTCTCTTTCTCATGCCCAGGCACCCAACACAACCCCCTCTGAAACCACAAGGTTTGCGATGTCAGGGCTGCGGGAACGATGTGTTTTCATTGGGATTAGGTTTTCTGGGGAACTTTTTTTCTTGATTTGGATTTCTTGATGTTCCGACATCCAGCGATCATCCAGCCCATGAGCCTTCCCAGGAACTCCGATCCCCAGAATCCCAAACATCCCACGCACGTGACAACACATGGTTTCTCCACTTCTCGTCCCAGAACTCCCAAACATCCAGATGAAACCAGAGGGTGTACGATGTCAGGGGTGCGGACGCCCTGTGTGTTCATTTGCATGGTCTGGATGTCTGGGGTGAGAAGTGTGGGCGCCATGTGTTGTCATCACACGATAATCCAGCCCATGAGCCCTCGTAGGATCTTCGATCTCCAGCATCCCAAACATCCCAAACACCCACACAACAACATATGGTTTCCCCAGTTCTCGTCTCAGAAATCCCAAACACCCGAATGAGTCCACAGGGTTTGCGATGTCAGGGGTGCGGCAGCCTGGTGTTTCCAGTTGTTTTTTTGATGCCTGGCAGAGAAGTGGGGGCGCCATGTGTTTTCGGATTTTAGGGATTCTGGGGGTCGGAGGTCCTGGGAGGGATTCTGGGTCGGATATTCCTTGGGGGGAGGGACATCCCAAAAGTACCACATATCCAAATGAAAATGCAGGGCTCCCGCATTGCTGACATCGCAAATCTTGCTTTTCACAGGGATTGCGTTGGGTGTTTGGGGGAGAGAGAGAGAGAGAGAGAGAGAGAGAGAGAGAGAGAGAAAGAGAGAGATAGAGAGAGAGAGAGAGAGAGAAATATCGAGGGAGAGAGGAGAAGAGCGAGACAGAGAGAGAGAGGGGGAGAAAAAGAGAGAGAGAGAGAGAGAGAGTGAGACAGAGAGAGAGAGACAGAGAGAGAGAGAGAGACAGTAAGAGAGAGAGAGAGAGAGAGAGAGAGAGAGAAGAGAGAGAGAGAGAGAGACAGACGAGGAGGAGGAGGAGGAAAAGGAGGAGGAGGAAAAGGAGGAGGAGGAAAAGGAGGAGGAGGAGGATCAAAGGAAGGGCATTACCGTCGTAAGTGAATGCTGGTAAGAATGGATGTGGGGGGGCTGTACATCTATTCCTATTCTTATAGTTTCATTACCCAGACCCCCCCCCAAACCGGACCCCCCCCCAGGGACGCCCTGGACGCCCTTTCGGACGTCTCGGCGTCCCCCTGGACTCCCTTGGAAAAGGTCCGCTGGCCCTTCCGGGCCTCCCAGGGCGCCTTGCTGGGCCTTGCGAGCAGACTCAAGGCGATCAGAGGGGTCATCGGAGAGGCACAAGAGAGACCCAAGACAGCACAAGAGCACTCCAAGAGGAACCTCGATGTTCTGAAGACGGCCCAAGAGGCCCCCAAGACGTCCCAAGAGGCCATCAAGAGAGCCCCGAAGATGCAAACATCGTTACACACACCTATATATATATGTATATATATATATATACATATATCCTCCGCTCTTTGGGTCTTCACAGCGTCCAAGACGGCCCGATGGGCCCCCAATATCGCTCTAAGATGCCTTAAGAGGTCCCCCAGAGGGTTTGAGGACGGCCCAAGAGGACCCCAAGACTGCCCCAGAGAGCCCCGAGGCTGCCCACAAGAACCCCAAGATGCCCTCAGAAGGCTCCCAAGAGAGACCCACAGAAGCCATGGGGGGCCCCCAAGAAGGCCACTGGAGGCCCCCAAGAGGGCCCAGGATGGCTTCATAAGACCTCTGGAGGGCCCCAGCTCTCCAAGACGGCCCAAGAAGGCCCCATGACGGCCCAAGAGGGCCCCACGGCGGCCCAAAAGAGCCCCAAAAACGCCGAGACGGCGTTCTTCTACGAAGTACATCGTGCTAGCCCGACGATCTTGGTTCCACACTTGAGGCTCGAGGTTTTATGTTCGAGAGAGAGAGGCAATCGATCTAGAATCGAAGTTCGACGGTCGAAGATTTCCTGAGTGCCTGGGGCCCTCCAGGCATTCCAGAAGCGACCATAAATCGATTTGTTCGAAGCTACTGCGACTTCTTCGGCGTGTCATGGAAACGCTCCTTACTTCCTGAAAGGATCTTCGCGCGCGAAAAATCATCACTCCTTCCCAACTCCTGCGCACAAGCGTGCAAGCGCATCGGGCGAACGCGGTGTCAGCAGGCACCAGAGATATCAGAAAAATGAGCCAGTCGCCCGCCCAGGCCTCGAGGTTCCCCCCCTGCTAAAGCAATCGATGATTTATTGCTTTGCCGGGGAGGGTCCGGAACAAGGCGCATGACTCGAAACGCATACATATATATATATATATATATATATCTATGCATATACACATGCACATGTCTAGTCGGGCCAAGGGGGGGACACGGATGTCCACATCCGCTGCCTGCCGAGGGCCCCCGAAGATCGATCCCCGTGGCGATGATTTGGCATTATTTCTTTCTCGCAGCGTTCGAGAGCCCAGGCTCCGCCCGAGTCCTTTGGCTTCGGGGCCCATTGGCATTTGGAGGTCTTCCGTGGCCAAAGTTATATTGAGGACGAGGGCGAAGAGGAGGAGGAGGAGGAAAAGGAGGAGGAGGTGGAAAAGGAGGATGAGGAGGAGGAGGAGGAAGAGGAATATAAGGAGGAATCCCATGTATACGAGGGGGATGATGATGATGACGATGGTGCTGATGAGATGGTGATGATGATGATGCTGATGTTGCTGCTTATGATGATGAGGGTGATGATGATGATGATGACGGTGATGATGATGATGCTGATGGCGATGATGATCATGAGGTTGATTATATGATGATGCTGATGATGATTGTGATGTTGATGATGGTGCTGATGGTGATGCAGATAATGCTGATGATGATGCTGATGATGATGATGCTGATGATGATGATGGTGGTGGTGACGATGATGATGATGAGGATGAGGATGAGGATGAGGATGAGGATGAGGATGATGATGCTGACGATGATGATGATGATGATGATGATGATGATGATGATGATGCTGATGACGATGATGATGACGATGATGACGATGACGATGATGATGATGA